AAACCACATATTACGCAAACCCAGGGATTCGCAGATATTCCACAAACAGAGCAAGCTGGCTTTTCATCCTGCTGCTGACAAAATCGGCAAACCTAGTGGCACACAAAGTCAGCAACTTTCTTGTATAAAGCTGGATTCTCAAACTTTGCTCGAGTTCTAATACATATCAGAGTTACAAAGGGCCCAACGCCAACTCAAGGAAAACTCAAGCTCAAATTGATAAACCCAAGACCACAATTGTTACATAGAAATATTTCATAATAATCTACATAAGAACTTTTAAATAATTAAATTACAAATATTGCAGTACATGCAAGTAACAATAGATATCAGTAGTGCAGTCAACAATGCTCTCAACCAAGATCTCTAATAAACTTAAACACATAAGACAAAATTTTGGAACAGAAAACCAACTCACCTGACAAGATAAATAAGTCCATTTTGAAATGCATGGACATTGAAATGAATGGTCACAAAGTGTACTCGCTATTCCACTTGTGTCTGCATCCAATCTCTCTGACATTGAAACAAAAGTCAAACCAAAATAATATAAATACTGGGCACAAGAATATTATACCTCTGAAAAAAATAAATAGAAGAACCCCCGTCCCACCAAAGAAAATTGTGACTCACCAAGGCAAACTGGGCAAGTAGGTAATTCAATACATCCTTCTGGAGGAGTCCCAGCAATTTCATCTGAATCTGTGTAGTCCACAGAAAGCAGAAACAGAATGTGGCACACCTCAGCCTGAAAAAATAAAAAATAAAAAAAAATCGCACACATAAGCTCAAGATGTATATACATCATCCATGAATATAAGCGATAATAAGAAAAGCTCATTACCTCTCCAGGCGAATACTTCTTCCCATTTAAAGTGTGATAAAATCCGTCGGCGGTCATCTGATTCTTCAGCTCAACTAAAACACTGTACCGATCTTCCATCCCATCGTTCCTAATCCAATTAAGCAAATACTAAATTAGACTTTGTTTAATCACTAAGGAAACAAAAACATAGATAAAATGGAACTTTAATTTCAAACAAAGATATTCACTGAACTGATACATAGACCCTTTTTTTTCCCTTTAGTTCAAAGCATTGCTTTTTCAGATTTTCAGCTCAAGTTTATCTTTTAAATTTGATTTCTTATATTCATGAAAATTATCAATGTAAGCCTGGCACAACTCTGTGGCTCAATTGAAGTAAAACCCTATCCAAATTTTTCTTTAAAATAAAATTATAAAAAACAAATTTTGCTATTTCCTCAATTTCGTCACAAACCCAGTGCAGGGTTTTGATCAACAATCCAACCCACAACTTCCGAATTGAAAGATTCAAAATTTCTTAATTTCTGGGTAAACAAAGAAATTCTAGAATGGTACCTGATGAAGACGAGTTGGAGGACATGGTCGATTCGGGACCCACAGAAGCGGATGAAGTCGTCGAAGGAGAGGTAGTTGGGAACAGCAATGACGAAGAGGAGAGTGGATCGAGAGGCAGGGCTGTTCGGCAGCGACGAGTGTCCTATGCTTCGGAACAGGTGAGCTATGCCTCTTCGCTCGCTGAATTTGGGGATGATGTTAGGGTTTGATTCAGTAGCACTGGTGATCTTGGAAGTTGTGATGGTGGTGAACTCGGCGTCTTCGAGGCTGAGAGGGTGGTTGGTGTCCACTGAGTGGACTCGGAGGAAGAACATCGTGGTTGTCTGAGTCGACTCGGTTGGGGAAGAGAGAACATAGAAATGACAATTTTGAGAGGCAAAGCTATTTATAAGCCAAATGCGACCGAAGCTGGTATTCGCGGGAACATGCGCTTTCTCCTTTCCGACAGTGTATAATATTTACAATTGTTTTTTATTTATTTATCAGGAAGTTCAATTTTATAATTACATTTCAGCCCATTTATCTTCGGAAATTTCAATTTCTTGCTAGCAAATAGGAAAAAAATTATAATAATTGAAAAGTGAAAACTATTTTTGGTCCGTGTTTATATACTCTATTCTCACCAATTTACAATGTGACGAAAGAAAATATATGACCGTCAAATTCGAACTTTTTCCTTTTCTTTAGAAGAAAAATAATTTAAAGTGCACAAGGTAATTGGGATAAAATTAACATTTAGTAATTTTTTTTTATACTAGCAAAATAAAGTGGGGATTAAAAATTCAGGAGCCGAATGTAAGGACGACTATAAAAAAATTGATGTGATTGTCCACCTCCCACATAAGGTAGTATGAAAATGTGATAAGAGTATCATTGTCCTAAATATATATATATATATATAAATGAATATTTATTGAGTAACCATATAGATTTACATTGACAAAATTGCTATGATTGATACCCACCGTTACTGGAATTCACATACATTGCATGGAGAAAGAGTCCACAAAGTTCAAACCGTCAAACGCCATCTATCTTTTGCATTGAATTAGCCAGTAAGCAAAAGGTTTTAGATTACGCGCTTTTAGCCTTTCGCAGCACAGCGAAAAGTGAAAGAAGACAAGACTGCCTTGGTCTCTGGTTTTTGCAGCACAGCTCCGTGAGCCGTGAGCCGTGACCCTTTCCAATCTACTGCAATTCCGATCGTACGGACTCAATCTCCACCGTCTACGACGTTGAACCAAGTCAGCAGATCTCTCGTTTCATCCTCTACAGTCTCGATCCACGCCTGCACAGCCCTGAACAAAGCATAGGTAATCAACAAAAACAAACCCCTTTTTCCTCTTGCCTTTTGAATCCTATCATCAATGGCACCCAGCACAATTCGCAAGGCAATTGGGGCTGTCAAGGACCAAACCAGCATCAGCCTAGCCAAAGTGGCCGGGAACATAGCCCCGGACCTCGAAGTTCTAGTCGTTAAGGCCACGACCCACGATGAAGACCCAGCTGACGACAAGTACATAAGGGAGATCATCAACTTGACCTCCTACTCGCATGGATATGTCACTGCGGCTGTGGCAACTATATCTAAGCGTTTGAGCAAAACCCATGATTGGATTGTGGCTCTCAAGGCTCTTATGCTTGTTCACAGAATTTTGGTTGATGGGCACCCTTCGTTTGAGGAGGAGATTGTGTATGCAACTCGCAGAGGCATGCGGGTTTTGAACTTGTCTGATTTTAGAGACGAAGCGCATTCGAATGCTTGGGATCATGCCAGGTTTCTAAGGTTTTATGCGATGTATCTTGATGAGAAGGTGGAGTTTGAGGTTTATGAGAGGAAATCGGGAGGCACAGATGGCGGTAGATTGGATCAGGAGAGAGATTATCGAGAGGAAAGGAAAGAATTTGATTATGGAAATGATGTGAGTGATCAGTCACTGGAGAGAGAGCAGAAAAGAGAGACCAAGTCTAGTACGCCAATAAGGGAAATGAGGCCTGAGAGAGTACTGGGGAGGTTGAATGACTTGTTGAGGGTTCTTGATCGAATTTTGGCTTGTAGGCCTGCAGGTGCGGCTAAGAGTAGTAGGTTGGTGATTGTTGCGCTTTACCAGGTTTTGAAGGAGAGTTTTAGGCTATATGTTGCGATATGTGAGGCATTGGGGGTGTTGTTGGATAGGTTTACTGAGATGGAGTATGCGGATTGTGTTAAGGCTTTTGATGTTTATGTTAATGCGGCAAAGATGATTGATGAGCTTGTGGGGTTTTATGGTTGGTGTAAGGACACGGGGATTGCCCGGTCGTCTGAGTACCCAGAGGTTCAGAGAATAACTGATAAGCTTTTGAGCTCACTTGAAGGGTTCTTGAAGGAGAAGACAAACAGGCCGAAGAGTATGGAGGAGAAGGGTCAGGTTGATAGTGAGCCAAAACAGGATATGAATTATGAGGTGATGAAGGCTCTTCCTCCGCCGGAGAATTACACTCCTCCTCCCCCGCCACCTGAAGCCCAGCCTAAGGCTTCACATCCTCAACCTGTGACAGAGGACTTGGTCAATTTGAGGGATGATGGAGTTACTGCTGATGAGCAAGGAAACAAATTGGCTTTGGCTTTGTTCTCTGGACCTCCTACTACTACTAATACAAATGGATCCTGGGAAGCATTCCCATCAGATGGAGAGCCTCAAGTGACCTCAGCTTGGCAGACACCAGCTGCTGAGAGTGGTAAAGCAGACTGGGAATTGGCATTGGTTGAGACAGCTAGTAATCTGTCAAAGCAGAAGGCTGATTTGGCTGGTGGTTTTGATCCATTGTTATTGAATGGCATGTATGATCAGGGAGCAGTGAGGCAACATGTGAGCACCTCACAACTGAGTGGTGGGAGTGCAAGTAGTGTGGCAATGCCCGGGGCAGGCAAGGCTGTTACGCCATTGCTGGCTCTGCCTGCCCCAGACGGGACAGTGCAAGCAGTGGGGCAGCAAGATCCGTTTGCCGCCTCCCTCGCAGTGCCACCTCCTTCATATGTTCAGATAGCAGAGATGGAGAGGAAGCAATATTTGCTTTCACAAGAACAACTGCTTTGGCAGCAATATGGAAGAGATGGGATGCAAGGGCAAGTGGGTTTAGCCAAGATTTCTTCTGGCGGCTCTGGCTATTATGGCCAACCTCAGCCGATGATGCCTCAGCCAGGAGGGTACTACTATGCGCCCTATTGAAATCGGATGCCGCCTTGTCTTGACCAGTTTGTTCCTCCCATTATGCAAATACCTTTCGACTGTTTGGATAAAGCTTTTGATGCTGCAGCTGCTTGTTATGCTACCTCTTTCATTTTGGAAAATTTTCTTTACTTACCTTATGTAATTTGTCATTTTGCTGCACTTACTCGCAGTCGTGCACTGTAATGTTGTAGATGACATACAAAGTTTGATATTATATAATTAGCAAATTTTTGTCTTTAAATAAAATCAATTATCCTATTGTAATTTGTAATGGTCGGAATGTTCGGAATGTCACAATTTGTGTGAAAGAATACAATGGTACAATAATTATATTTCTATCGAACCCTTTGAGTTATATAACTTGTACCAACCAAACTAAACCAAAATTTTCAGTCTAAGAACTTAAGTAAAACCCAAGTAGTTCAAAAGCGAATACAAGCTCTAAATTTTTGTTTGACATTGGCCTATTGGTGCATTTTCATTTCCTGTTGCAATGCATCCTTTAGACCCCTAATGGCAAATGCATAAACCCCAGCGAGTCACTCACACACACTCGCCTAAACCTCAACCTCGCGCCAAATCAGTCCCAGACCCCCACCACCCAACCCCCTCCACCTGGACATGCATCAAAACGTCGTCGTGTTGGACAACGGCGGCGGCCTAATCAAAGCCGGACTCGGCGGCGAGCGCGACCCCTCAGCCATAATCCCCAACTGCGTCTACCGCCCACTCTCCTCCAAGAAATGGGTGCACCCTTCACCCACCGAGCCCATGGACCTCACCTCCGCCGCGGTCCGGCGGCCCATCGACCGCGGCTACCTAATCAACCCGGATCTCCAGCGCGAGATCTGGGCCAATCTCTTCTCCTCCCTTCTCCGGGTCAACCCGGCCCAATCGTCCCTTCTCCTGACGGAACCCCTCTTCACCCTCCCCTCCATCCAACGCGCCACCGACGAGCTCGTCTTCGAGGACTTCAACTTCTCATCGTTCTACGTGGCCCACTCTCCCTCCCTGGCCCACCTCTACGAGGCCAGCCAGCGGACCTTTAAGGCCCAATGCAGCCTCGTCGTCGACTGCGGCTTCTCTTTCACTCACGCCGTCCCTGTTTTCCAAAACTTCCCCATCAACTACGCCGCTAAGCGAATCGACTTGGGCGGCAAGGCCTTGACCAATTACCTCAAAGAGCTTGTATCTTACCGCTCTGTCAATGTCATGGACGAGACCTTCCTCATCGACGACGTTAAGGAGAAGCTCTGCTTTGTTTCCTTAGACGTTGCTCGTGACCTCCAGATCGCAAAGTTCGTGAATTTATTTTAATATTGTTTCTATTTTCTTGTTCTATTTTTCCTGGAATTTGGTTTAATATCAGTTCTGGGTTTTGTTGTTTTTTTTTTTGGGCTTGAAATGGGTGTTCAGGAAACAAGGGAAGGACAATGCTTTCAGGTGCACGTATGTGTTGCCTGATGGTGTTACGCATACAAAAGGGTTCGTTAAGAACCCAGAAGAGGCGCAGAGATACTTGGCTTTGGGAGACGGTGACACACTTGAAGAAGTGCAGGAAAAGATGGATGTGGATCAGATGGAAGTTACAAACAAGCTGGAGGATCGAAAGAAGATTGATTTAACCAAGAATGTAATCTTTCTCCCATATATTTGAGCTAATTTAGTAACTGGTTGTGTTTGTTTTCTACTTCTAAGTGGTGTTTGTTGTTTTTGGGCAGGAATTTGACTTGACAAATGAAAGGTTCCTTGTGCCGGAGATGATCTTCCATCCTGCTGATTTGGGTTTGTCTTATATTCTGGTTTCAAAGTACACTTTTGGGGTTTTAGTTTGATTCTTGAAACAAATACGATATATGATTCTTTGTTGTTGAATGAAACATTACAGTATCCTTTTGTGGTTCATGTTGGCTAGGGGTTATTACTTCTGCAAGTTGTTGCGTGATTCATGTAGAGCATAACGTTGGAAATATGTCATTAGCTGTTTCTGTAGAATATGATACTATGTGGCATAATAGGAGGTTTTTAGAAATTCTATAACTTGTGTGTAAATTGTATGTGATTTAGTAATGATTTTGCTCATTCCTTTTGGAACTCTATGATTCTTACAAAGCAAAAGCGCTAACTTGGACCTGTTTTGCAGGAATGAATCAGGCTGGGCTAGCGGAGTGCATAGTTCGAGCTGTCAGTTCCTGCCATCCTCATCTTCAGCCTGTACTCTATGAAAAGTGACCTTCCAAACTCTGCATTTTACTTGAAAGAAAAAAAAAATTATTGTCAGTACTCACCCGCGTGTCTGAATGTGTTGGCCAGCATTATTTTAACCGGCGGAAGCACACTATTTCCTCGACTTTCTGATAGACTGTATGTACTGATATCTTTTCCGTTCAGTTGTGCAATGCCAGATTTAATACTAAATCATCCTTAAGTTTGTTTTGATATTTTGCAGAGAGAAGGAGCTGCGGCCTCTTGTTCCTGATGACTATCAAGTGAACATAACTCCTCAACAAGAGTAACTTTCCTCCTGATCTGTATTACTCTGTTTAAGCATACCTACTTCCAGTTTTATTAAAATTGTCCATGTTTTTACAGCCCCATACTAGGTGTTTGGCGAGGAGGATCTCTTTTAGCATCAAGTCCTGATTTTGAAGCAATGCGTGTCACCAAGGCTGATTATGAGGAGCTTGGATCTGCTCGATGTCGCAGGAGATTCTGTTAATCTTGAAGGGTATGTTATCTGAATGATAAAATCCACCTTTTACAGTAATTTACATATCATGCTGTATGGTTGAGAGGAATTGTTGGACCACATAACATTCCCTTGTAAATTTCTATAGCACCTTTGTGGAAGCGAATAGTCCGTGAGGGATAATGCAGCTGCCTATGCATGTCACTTTTGTTGTCAACACTGAAGAAAAAGTAGGTAAGAAGCAGGCTTGGCAGCTTGGTTATGAGAACTGAAACCTGATTGTCCGCCCTTGTCATACTCATGAGCGTGCTAAAATGAAATGCTACATACATTCTGCCTTCCCCGACCCCTTTTATTTATTTATTAATTTTTTAATCGATGTCCAGAGGAAGATTGAGGTTCGATCCCTTCGCTATAGAATCCTCCCTAGACTATCCAGGAAAGCTATTATTTATGTGGAATGGGCAAACTCAAGAAAAAGACGTAAAAATATTAAGATTTAAAATTTTGATCCGGAAGAGTTCAGGAGATGGTGACTCCTCGGCCATTGTAAGCTACATTGCAGTGTCTTCTAAATCAAGACCTATCTGATTCGAGCTTTGCCTCCAGTATGGAGTGGACGCGCAGAACACCTTGGTTTGTTCATGTTTGAGATACCTTGGTTATTCTTGTAGAAGAAAGATACTTGTTCTAACATGTTACCTGCGACATATTTATCTTGAATCGTCTTTTAAACATAAAAATACTGCATCCCTATACTTGTATAAAATTGCTCTCTAATACGTAGGATATTTTATTAACAAGTTCATGTTGATGTTTGTTCGACTTTCTGTAGCTACAAAATCAAATTACAGTCCAAGTTTTTGGATGAAATCCAAAATTGTAAAGATTACTCTCGAATCATCAACCAAACAGCCCCAGCCCCAGCCCCGAATAAGTAACAATCCAAGTTTATTGCTTATTGAACATGGGCCACTTCTTTTCTTGGGCCGGAGAAGCAACAAAACTAAACAAGCCCGTAGCCCATCCAAATCGACAAACTGAGATCTGAGACAATCGTATTCATAAGCCCTGAGGAGAAACAAAAAACCCCCAAACCCAAAGCCCAAACAGAGCACAGAAAACCCGCCAACCGTCTCTCTCCGAGGCTCAAGCCCTAATCTAATCGCCGACAAGAAGCTTTGATTCGATTCGACGAAATCATCTACGATCGCAATCACCGATATGTTAGTGACGTTTGGGTTTGAGGCCTTTGCGAAGATCGCGTTCAAACACACTCGACGGATCTGACGCCTTTGCGATGGTCGTGTTCGATCGGTCGGGCCGGTTGTTTCCGTAATTCGATCCAATTTGGGTTCGAAGACGATCGTCGATGGCGAGGTCGCTGGTTTTGCCCGTGGATGAACGATTTCAAGGTCGCGGTGTTTCCGATGGTGTAAATTACAACCTTGACGGTGTAACGTTAGGGTTTGTTGTTGGGCAGATCGTATGTGGCTGATGTGCCTGATATGATGGAGCCTGAGTGAGCTTCGGAATTGATTCAAGCGATTCTCTCCTTTTTTGAGACAGATTGACTCGAAGATGTTCAAATCTTTACCTTCTCCATCTTCATATGCAGGTTAATTTCTTCACGCCTTATACTTTTAAGAAAAATGATAATAAAATTACTAATAATAAATGATTATGATAATAGTTTTATTTATTTATATAGTGGTGATATATATTACGAAAATAATCATGGACATGGTTATCGCCATTGGAGGCGTTGAATGACTGTTTATTTGTGATGGAAGGCATTGAATTACTGTTTATTTGTTGAAGCATTTCCACCTCATAAGAAGAGTGTCTATTGTTGAAAATCTTTCTGCACATCATTATCAAAGAAGAGTTTTAGATTACAAGCTGTGAAACCTTTAGGGTTTATTTGGACCGTTACACATTTTATCGTGAAAATAGTGATTTATTCAATACGGTTTTGTAATACAAGTATATGCTGTTTCTAAGGTAAATAAAGATTTATAAATGAAGCATTCAGCCACATGAGTAGCTGATAGGGAAAATTTGCTGCCCTATAAAACGCAATGGTTAAGTTATATTTTTCTGTTTTATACTTTGGTGCCGATCAGTGGTCCCACCGACCATTAACAAACAAATTTGATGCTATGGTTTGAACCTTAATTGGAAATTCTGTTGTCAAAAGTTGAAATCGTCATCAAGGTTGGTCACCTTCCTCGTTCAAGCAAGAAAGGATCTCCGATTAGTTAGTGGCAGGAATTATTTTCATAACTTTTACACCTGGGGAAAAAGAAAAAGTTAAAGTTAAAGGCCTGTAATATTTGTATAATTTAACCAACCTAATGCCATGATATTAGATAGATAAAATTTAGCCTTTGTTCATGTGTTTAAATTCGTTTGTTTTGTTCTGTTCTTGAAGAGGAGGCAACCTCAGGAAGGCAGGACGGGCCTCGCAGGACCAATGTTAAGTGAGACAAAGTTGTAAAACTTGCAAGGTGAACTCATGAAAGATCGACATAAGGTACATATGGAGGCTAGGACACTTACTGAAAGCATATTATACCTTATATTGGAAATGCATAAATTCAGAGCATTACACTTTCTGGAAACATAATTCTGTGAACAAACCTATATTGTTCCTATGCATTAAGTCATGCAGCCACTCGTGTGGCTGGGGGCCAGTATGTTGCACTATAAAATACAACCATAGTTATAATTCTGTTTTATGCTTGTTAGTGGCATGCTCGATGCTGATCAGTTGTGCCACAGGCAATTAAGAAACAAATGCTACTGCTGCAAGCTTATTGTTAACTTCTGTGTATGGATAGTTAATGTGGGGCAATAGTTGTATAAAGGTTACATAATTTGGGTCAATGTTGGGTGTGGTTGTCTCCCATCTGTGGTTGTTTCAGTGATGATTTGCATTGTTATGAATGTGGTGTTATCTCGTATGTTTCTCTTTGTTCCAAAAAAATCAGGTGCTTGGGTTGCACCTTGGACAACTAGGGGTTTTGTTGCTGTTTCCAAAATATTTAAAAGAAATCTGTGCACGTTGATGTTTAGCCTTTGTGAAACTGAATTTATCAGGTCTAGGCACATTTTCAAATCATCATGTGCATATATTTTCAAAGTCTACGCACATTTTCATAATCATCATGTATATATTATAACATATTGTGAGAGTTAACTCTGTTGTCCTCAATATTTTGTTCAGGTGGGCAGTAGTGTGACCACAATCAAAGTGTGGAGTTCTACAATACGAAGTAGCTGCTGCTCAGGATATTTTTACTGGGTCCTTGTGTTTTGGGCAAAGGCTTCAATTTCGTGATATATGTTGTTCCCTGATGAATGCAGCTCTTAAATTTTACGGAGCTTGAACTCGAAGTGGGTTGATATTTCAAGTTGGGTTTTCTCGTTCACTTATATATTTTCTATAGATAGGACTCCTGCAGCAATTCCGTAAACTTGTTTCCGGCCTTTTTTATTATTATTTTTTTCCTGTATATCAATAGTAGCTAATGCAGAGTCATTCTACAGTGCGGACTTCAGTTAAGGGCCATAAGGGCCATATATAAGGCCCTCGTTACAGAATGACCCAAGTTACGTCAGTAAGAAAGGTCGTCTTTGTACAGAGTTGATAAGAACCGTCCTGCTGACTAAATTGGGCCCAATATCTGAAGCTCAAGGGCTAATAAGACAGCCCAGAAACGACTATGCTAGCCCAACCTAAAGCCCCAGGGCGAAAACTTAGACCCAAAGAAAAGCCCGGTAACGATGGCCTAACTTATATAAACAATGAATAGTTCGGCCCATACACAAGCCCAAGTAATGAATAGTTAGGCCCAGAAAGAATATATGGACGAACTAAAAGCTCAATAATGAATACTTGGGCCCAGTATCCAAAATGATTGTCCAAATAAAGCCCAATAATGGACATGTCAGCCGAAATTAAAGCCCAATAACGAATAATTCCGCCTAAAGAAAAGCCCAGTAACTGAAATTGGGCCCAAAAAATACGTCGTCCCAACCAAAAGCCCACAAACGAATATTTTGGCCCATTATCGAAAATGATGGCCCAACTAAAGCCCAACAACAAAGTATTGGGCTCCAGAATGAAAATTCCGGCCCAAACAAAAGCCCAATAACGAATAATTCAGCACAAAGAAAAGCCCAGTAACGATTACTTGGGCCGTACAGAATATTTTGGCCCGACTAAAAGCCCAACAACGAATATTTGGGCCCAGTAATGAAATGACGGCCCAAAGAAACGCCCAATAACAAATATTTCGGCCCAAAGAAAAGCCCAATAAAGAATAATTGGGCCCACTATAGAAAATGATGACCCAGCCAGAGCCCAAAACGAATAATTGGGCCAAGTATCGAAAATGATGGCCCAGCTAGAGCCCAATAACAAAAACGTCGGCCCTACTGATAGCCACAAAATCGTTGACCAGAAAAATGTACAAAGCCCAAAAATGAGAGACTTTTTAGATATTCTCCTGTCAAAATGAAGAAATAACATCATTACACATTCCTACCACACAAAAACATTATATACTTTGATATAGATTTATCTTGACAATTTTCTACATTTACAACATTTTCCAGTAATGTTTTCTAGCTAAACTACATAGCTGCAGTTGCAATCAAGCAGATCCAATTTCGAAACCAAAAATTTCTCTCAGTCGATTGCTGGCTAAGAATATGACCATTCTCGAAGTTGGCCAGATATCACTTTCATGTCCTCGTAACGTCAAATTGCTTTTGGCCCATGAATCTAGTAAGAGCTGTGGATTGTTTTATCGATCGAAAGTCTGCCATTTCTTACTGTAAAATACGGAGAAAATGACTAAGTCGTACCACGTGACCAGGCCTAGTCCTTCATTCAGAGAATGGTTGCGAGTCCATGCATAGATGCACCAATTTTCTTTGGTATTGCCCATAATATTCACTGACTGCAACAACATCTTCATTCTCAGGGCCCAACCCAGGCAAGTGAAGCAGCTTGTCCTTGATTGAAGAACTAGATTCATCATCTGAGTTCCCTAAATCAGAGATGAAGTTGGCATGAATTTCTCGGCAAGCAAGGATGAACATAGCTGCTGTGTCCGGTTGTTGGGCCTCACGAAGTGCTGCCAATGCCTCTTGCAGCGCACCAGCTGCAACATACAAAATCAGAGCCCTGCCAATGGATCATTTAGTGCAAGTCAGATGAGAAAAAAAGAATTTATAAAATACTTTTTAACAATTTCCATTTTAAAAACCTTAATGAGTAAAATAATGATACCTCCATATGTTGTGTTCAGCGCGAAGGACATGCGAAGCCCATCTTAGTAACACCCTGGAAGAACATAATACACACAATTCAGCTACCATAACCATAGTGAAAGAAAATTAGAATTGTACAAATGAAAATCAGGGGACTAGAAATGGATCTGTTTAGCCAAAAGACAAGCAGCAAACGTGGGGATGAGTTTATATGTCATCAAATGACGATACATTATGAACTTATGATATATAAATAAATGAAGAAATAAAAACCTGCGCTTAGGCTACCGGGCCAGCAATAAGCAGCAAGCTAATCAACTAAAAAGTATATAGAAAAGAAAAAAGAAAAAAAACTGGTAGGAGACCTCAGAAATGGTGAATAGAAAGTAAACAACCTTGCATAGTCAGATCCTTTTAAATGCGCAGCAGCTAAAGTTGCAGCATCTGTCCAACACCCAGCATCTTGTAGCTGCATAAGAGATGTCATGGTAATTGGTGGTAATATAAGATAATGCA